AGGCGCAGGCCTGACGTGAGCCAGGCCTCAGGGAGGTGGGCGAGCCTCACGGTCGAGCCCACCCCACACAGGGCCCTGACCACAGCCCGCCTGCACTCCTCACCTCTTCCGGCCAGGGTGCCCAGTATCAAGGTCGCGCATCATCACTGAGGACCAGGATGCAGGGAGCCCTGTGCCCCCTAGATGGCACCAAGGGCACAGAAACGTGGGTGACCAGTGGCCTCCTTGGCACCTGCCAGAGCCTGGAAACCACATACCCTCTGCATTTACCTGAGGTGCCCGAGGTGGCTGGCAGGATCGGGCCACAGGCTCATCTGGTCTTTACCTCTCCACAACCCTCTCGGAATTCCTTCTCCCTCCTTCCCTGTACACTCCCAGATGTGCACTGCTCTTTTAGTTGGTTTTAAGGACAGTCTTATTTTTAAAAATTAAAGAGCCAGTGTAGTGGCACACTCCTGTAATTCCAGCACTCTGGGAGGCTGGGGCAGGAGGACCACAAGTTCAAGCCCACCCTGGGCAATTTAGCTACTAAGCAAGACCTTATCTCAAAATTGAAAAAGGGCTGGGATGGAGTTCAGTGCAAAGGCCATGGGTTCAATTCCCAGTACCCTAAAAAAAAAAAAAAAGAATAACCCTGCATCCTCTAGATGGACATCTCTCCTCTGGCCAGGACCCCACCCTCCAGGGTGGCCCCAACCAGGACCCAGCAGTCCTGCTCCGAGCAGTTGCCTCACCCAGCTTTCTGTGTGCATCCAGAGGCATTTCCATATCTGCAGGAAATAAGTGACACACCAAGCACTATCGTGTTTTATTTTACATACATGGCATGGGTGCTGCCCTCCAACATCCTTTCTCCCACTCACCAGCCATCTGGGGGTGCTGGATCTGTTCATACCCTGCTGTCCTTTCGGAGCTGCTGTGTCCATTCCTTGGTGCAGGGGATGTTGCTTATTCAACTTGCGCCCAGTTCTCAGACTGCGCAGGTCTCTGGCACCCTCTGGGTGAGGTGAAGCTGTCCAGACAGGACAGGGCTGTCTCGCCCCACATGTCCCCCACTGAGCACTGATGAGCACTTCCTGTGGGGCTCTCAGCCTAGGAGCCTCTGCAGGTTTGGGGAACCTGACATTGCACCCGGGTGTGCATGAACTATGCTGCGGATGCGTCCATAACACGTTCTGGTTTCAGGTCTTTTTCTGGTTTTTTGAGACAGAGTCTCACTGTACATTCTAGGCTGGCCTTGAACTCACTATGTAGTACAGGCTGGCCTCAAACTCTTGGCGATTCCTCTGCCTCAGCCTAAGTGGTGGGACTACAGGTATGCGCCACCACACCTGGCTCTTAGGTGTCAGGTCTTGAAGGGCCTAGTAAAAGCAAAGAAGTGTGAAACTGGGTGTGGGTAGCTGAGACAAGAAGATGGCAAATTCAAGCTCAGCCTGGACAATTTAGACAGACCCCATTTCAAAATTTAAAAACTAAACAAGGGTTGGGATGTGGCTCAGTGCTCACTGGGTTCAATCCTCAGTGCTGTGCACACAAATGGATGAATGAACGAGTGAGCTGAGAGGCGTGGGCCCTTTATGTCCCAAACCACACCGCGTGCTGAGGATGCTGGCAGAATGAACCCTCCTCCCTCTTGCTGTGCCATGCAGGGTTCTGTCTGGAGCTGGGGAGCCAGACCCAGGAATTAACACCCATGCTTCATTTTCCAACTTATAAAATGAGGTACAACCCCCACCCCCTAAGCTGTTCCTCTGTCCAAGTGCTGCAGGCCCAGGAACCCACCCCCCGCAGGGCTAGACCAGGCTCAGTCTGCTGCTGGTGCCTCAGTGTGACCCAGACACACTGGGAACTGGAACAATGTGTAAACCAGGGACAGCAGTGCGATCAGGATGACAGCGGGGGCCACCAGGAGATCCCCAGCCACGTTTCTCTTCCCCACCCCACATGGCTGGTAGCCTTGAGGGACAGAGCCCCCTCTGCTAGGTGGGAAATCCCAGGGGACCCTGTTGAAGGTCCTCTTTCCTCCTCAGCCCCTCCTTCCCTTTCCACAGCTGCCTCCCACCTTCTTCCCTCTGCCGCCCCAGGCCCTCACCCTCCCATGCACAAGTTCCTCTCTGAGCACCCTGTTCCACCCAGCTCAGACCATGGGGTGCCCCTCACTTGCTCAGGCCTCCTGCACCCCACCACAACCCTCCAGAGTATGCCCCGCACTATAGGAAGCTTAAGCAGCCCAGCAACATAATTCCCAGCCCAGGACCTCAGACCAGGTCTCCTGCCTGGGTTCCCAGGTGCAGCCCAGGAATCCAGCGAGGCCACAGGATCTTCCCTTCGAGGGCACTGGGAAGATGGTATCATTTCAGGCACACACGATGCTTAGAACAGGCACCACCCACCTTAGAACAGGACACCTAGTATGCTGGTGCATGCCAGTAATCCCAGCACTTCGGAGGCTGAGGCAAGGAGGATCATAGTGCCAGTGTGGTAGTCTAGACTACAGCATGAAACGGTCTCCAAAAACAACCTACCAAAGGGCCGGGGATTTAGCTCAGTGGTTCTGCCGCAGGCCTCAAAAGCAGAAGGACCCGAGTTCAATCCCTGGTACCAAAAAACAAACAAACAAACCTACCAAAGCAAGGTGCTTAGGAGAGGGCTTGCAGGTTGGGAGCATTCACTAAATGGAGTCACTGCTCTGTGTCCACTTCAGCCAGATCCTCATCTGCTCCAAGGGCACACCCTCCAGAGAGCAGGAGACAGGGCTGCAGGTAGTGTCACATGGCCCTGGGGGCTGTGCCTTGCCAACTGGGCCTCCTCCTGAGCCCAGTGAGCTCCCAGCTCCCCAGGGTGGTGGCTTCCCAGTCACACCACTGGCTTGCTGGTGGGTCCCAAAAGGAACCCGAGTCTACCAACCACTGCTGCCAATCTACCCTTCCCCACTGGTCATACCACAGGTGGTGGGGACATTTCAGCAAAGACACCACAGTGACAATCCAGGACTAGAAGGATGAGGCCCTGGGGCTGTTGGGCAGCCTCATAAAGGCACAGAGGGGAAAACAAAGCAAGTTTATCCTCACAGGGAGTGAAACACAATCTGTGATTATAAATATTTCATGGGCAAAGAGTGGAGTGGGGGTGGACAGCAATGAAGCTCCCATCTGCAAAGTGATCAGGCCTTGGGCACAGCAGCCAGGCCGGGCTATTCTGGGCAGTGTGGGGTGAGGCCTGCGTCACAGCCCCGGGCACCTGGCTATGCGGAAACCACAGCCTTCCGGTGGACAGCTCAGAACACCTTGGGACAAGCACCCGCGTCCACAGTCAGAGGGGACAGGGAGGACAGGTGATTCTACTGAGTCTTGAGAGTGTCAGGCAGGGGCAGGCCAAATGGCCACCCTCCACCAAGACGTGACCACAGACAGATGGGACGGGGCCCAACCCCGGCAAGAACAAGTGGAGAAACTGGGACTGCATGAGTTAAGCTGCCGGGGCACAGTGAAGGTCCACCTCGGGCACTGCCAGGTTGAGAGTCCCTTGCCTTTGCCCCAGCCAGCCCCTCATGCAACGGCCTGTAGGGGGCAGCATGGACAGCGGGCAACTTCAAGCTCCAGATCCCACTGTGGCAGTGCAGAGACCGCACCACAGGGCAGCTCAGTAAGGTCAGTGGTGCTGGGCACCCAGACTCCACCGGCCCTTGATGAAGGCGATGGCCAGAGCACTAGGAGCCACACTCAGGGCCCTGGGCAGCAGCGCACTCCTCAGTTGGAAGATGGGATGCTGGCAACCCCTGCCTCCCAGCATCAGCACTAGGTGGAGTGGGCTTAGGTTCCACGAGGTGCCCCAGGGTTTGGAAGACAGGAGGGGCACAGCCAGTGAGAGCCATGGAGAGGGCACAGCCACCACGGAAACGTGTCCAGATGCCAGGGCTGCCCGTCTGGGGTCTCCCAGCATCGCCAGGGCATTTGAGGCATCACTGGATTTGTGCTGATTCCCCGTGACACCGTTAAGCTCCACAAGGACGAGAGCCAACCCTGCCCTTAGTCATCTTCATTTCCTGGAGCTGGCACAGTCATGAGAACAGGAAATGGCTCAGCCGTGCTGAATGCTTACTCCTCCAGGTACTGCGAGAAGCACTCAGGGGCACTAAGCTCACTTCACCTTGTCAGGTAAGTGCCCCTGTTTCATCCTCATCTTCCAGCCAGGAAACTGAGGCACACAAGGCCAGGTAACATGTGCAGTATCTCACTGAGCTTTGTGGTAGAGCGGGGATTCACACCAGGCTGCCTGGCTGTGAACTATGCTCCTGACCACGACGTGACCCTGCATCCAAGGCCGATGTGGTAACTAACAAGCACCCAAAGTGCGTGAGGTGAAGGATCTTGGACATGAGCTCATGAGACTCCTTTACAGAAACCAAGGCAGCACTTAGCGCCTCACTCCCCCAAGGAGGCCGACAGTCACCAACACAGGACTGATGGTGTGTCACCTGCAAAGCAGGACCAATCTATCTCCTCGCAGCCCTGGGCACAGAGCAGGGCCCAGGCAGACACCCCAAGGAATGACAGGGCGCCATCTGGGTGCTCCTGCAGCCCAAAGGCTATGGCCCAACTTGCCTTCCATGGTGGCCCCAGTCATCTTTTTTGTTTTCTTGACACATGGTCTCACTAAATTGCCCAGGCTGGCCTTGAAGTCACGGCGATCCTCCTGCCTCAGCCTCCTGACTGCAGAAATTACAAGTATGCCACCACACCTGACTCCTGGGATCTTTATAACCATGCAACCATGTCTTGAGCCCTCTAAAACAGGAAGAAATGCTACAGATGAGCAGACTCCATGGCACGTTTATAAATCAACACCTGATTTGTACCCAGTTTCCTGAGCCTGCCAAGCCTGGATGAACTCACGTGACAGGGCCCCGAGGAGAAAAGCAGGGTGCAGGCTGCCATCCCATGCACGGGGCCAGGTATGGTCAGTCTCACGGTCCCAACCCAGATGTTCAGGAAGCAGCCGTGCACAACAATGTTTATTCCCGCAGACAATACCGTCCCCCACCCCAGGGGGGCACTGTCCTCCAATCAGCCAGGTGCAGGCTGGGATCGCCGCTCACACGAAGTTCTGTGCTATGGCCAGCACCTTGGAGTACTCGCCCTCCTTCCGACGCAGGCTCGTGGGCACTGGCACTTTAATCCGAGTCCCCACAGGGTTGCCATTGTCCTCGATGAGGACCACATTGTTGGAGTCAAACCTGGGGGTCATCCGGGGGCCAGGCATGCGGTGCCCCACGATGAGCGCTTTCTTCTTCTGCCCCCTGATGGCTAGCAGGATCCGGTCACCCACCTTGCCCACCCCACTCTTGTTGTAGACATGGATGCAGCGGGGAGGTCGGTGGTATGGGGTGTTGCCCAGGGCACTGTTGTCCACTACGCGCACCCGCGTCAGCTTCTGGATTGCATCAATGCTGCCTGTGGTGCTGGGGACAGAAAACACAAGTTGGTGGACTGGGTCAAGGTCACAGGCCTGCGAGGGCTAGAAAGCACACACCTGCTGCATACACACAAGTGCACACTCATACATACAGGCTGAGCTCTCAAAGACTCTTCTACTCATGCTTCCTCCAAATTGAAAGCTTCTACCCTTGTGCCATGGTCTCATTTTGGATAGACTTTTTTGTTTGTTTGTTTTGGAGTTTTTTTGGTCTTATTATGGTAGTCCAGGCTGGACTTGAACTCACTCTATAGCCCAGGCCGGCTTCAAACTCGAGGCACTTCTCCTGCCTCAGTCTTCTGAGTGCTGTGATTACAGGTGTGCACCACCATACCTGGCTCTTGATTTGGATACATTTTTAAGAGGACACAAGTTTTCTATTACAACACATCTCATTGCACCTTAATCTGAAACCTTTGAAGAAATCCTTGGCTGGCCAGGCCTACCTACCACCTCCCAAGAAACCTGCCTCCCAGGTACTTGCCCAAGTTGTCTACAACAGAGCGAGCAAGATTGCTGAGGAGTCCCAAGTAAGATGCAGCAGAGCCCACTGTGTTCTCTCGATGGGGGCCACCCTCATGACGTAGGGTGTATTACTTTTCCTTCTTTTGTTTGGCCCAAATTTGCTCTGCAGAGCCTGGTTCTTTTCCTACCTTTAATAAAACTTTGCTACCATTAATTAAAAAAAAAAAAAGTTTAAGTGTTTTGCAGACCACCTATTAAAGGCAGGTACAGTATTAGAGATCTGGTCACCAAGGCTTCAAGGCAACACTCAGAGCTCTCAAGTGACCAGGGCTCCTCTCCTGGTCCCCGTGCCCAGTACCCACACCGCCCACAGGTAGAGCCCACCTCCAGGCCCATGCCTCTCTTACACTTCACCCTCAGAGTCTCCACAACACGTCCACAGATGCTGCCCCCGCAGGCGCTCGGGCTTCTCCAAGGACTCTCCCACCACACCCCCTGCTCTAACACCTACAGGCACCTCATCCTGGGCTCCATCCTTTCTCTGCCTCTGCCCCACGACCGCCTTCCTCCAATGGCTCCCTGTACACTGGGACAAGCACGAGTGTTCTCCAGGCCTCATGGCACTGTGCTGTGAGCTGGCCCTCAAGAACCTAAAGCAAAGCCATGCTCCTGCTTACTGCTGTCTGTGGCTCCCCACCATCAGTCCTGTGTTTGTGCAGGTCCTGCGTGGACCCTGCACCCAGAGCAGACAAGGGAACTCCAGGCTCACCCCTCCCGGCCCCTAGGGCCTGCCCTGCACCTACTTCCCTTCCTCCCCTCCTCCATCAGCAGGTCCTGTCTCAGGCCTTCCGAAGCCACCACACTCCTCACATCTTCTAGGTCAGAGACTTGTTTTTAAGTCCCTCCCTGCAGCCCCTGGAGAAACCTTCACTTCGGGAGGCAATTCCCACGCCAGGCAGAAGTTCAGCCTGCACTTGGACACCTGTGCTGGGCCTTCCTGTTCAGTCACCAGGGCCCATGACACCTGAGCATCCCCCAAAGGAAGAAAGGAGCTGTGCTTCTACCATGCTGGAATGTTTGCTAACAAGCATGCACTGTTTCTGTAACGGAAAGAAATTTCCTTCCTTAAAAGGGAAGGTTTTAGGGGACCGGGGATTTAGCTCAGTGGTTCCACCACCTGCTCTGCAAGCGCAAGGACCTGAGTTCGATCCCCGGTACAAAAAAAAAAAAAAAAAGGGAAGGTTTTGAAGCCTAGGGAAATGCAGCATCCAGAGATGTCGGATCCACTCCAGGTCTTACAGGGGCTGAAAAGCAGCAACAACTACCCTCTGCCAGCCCATGACATCCCCACCACAACCCAGACACAACTGTCATCTCCTTACCTCCTCCCTAGTCCTGACCAAATCCCAGCTCAGCCAGTTGCCTCCAGCTTCCCCAACCCAGGGCCCTCCCAAGGTTGCGCCAACTCTTGTCACCTTATCACCCTGTCTGCTGGCCCTGCTGGGAAGTCTCAAGTCACCTGAAAGCGTGCCAGCCGAGTGCTCTGATAACACAGGCCAAGGGGCCACAGAGTGCAGGAGAGGCGGCCATGGGATCCCACAATGGCAAGTCCTGCTGGGAGAGGGAGGAAAGATGGCTAAGTCAGAGTCCTTCTGTGGAGCCAGGTTTCTTTGGGGATGTGTGTGGGAGATGGCGATTCTAGAACAAGATCATTAGTCATATAAATCCCAGTGTTTACAAGAGAAAGGACAAGCCCCAGCTCCTGCCCCACCTGCTGAGTCAGGGTCTGACCTGGGTTGGGGCACACTGGACCCCAGAGCTATTCGAAGTGATAACAATAGCTGCCACTGCACCTGCCTACTGGCACCTCCAGCTGTGACAACTCCTCAATAATCCCACGACCCCACAGGCTCCCCACAGACACCGTGGGCCTTCTGGTTAAAGTTGGTACTTTAACCCCTAATGGGGGGCGGCATTACTTAAGCACTGCCAGTCACCTGGTCACCTTTCCCCCGAGTGCAGAGCCCACAGCAGCCCTTGCCAAGTCACTGGCCAAAGTATTTGGATGAACATCCCAAACGCCAGCAGACCACAGAAAAGCTGCCCAGCCCATCTGGGACAGGAAATGAGTTTTGGGAAAGCAAGCACCGCCACCAACCCAAGACGCATGATTCCAGCCTGGAGGTCACCAGGGCCTCCGACACCTGAGGATCACCAGGAGCCTGGATACAAAAAGTCTCCAGATCCAGACAGCAAACCTGTAATCCCAGCACTCAAGAGGCTGAGGCAGGAGGACTGCTGTGAGTTCAAGGCTAGTCTGGACTACACAGTGACACCCTGTCTCAGAGAGAGAGACAGAGAGAGAGAGGGAGGGAGGGAGAGAGATGGGGGGAGGGGGAGGGGGAAGGAGGGAAGCAAAGCAAGCAAGCCTCCCACCACAAAGCACATCTGTCCCTCCCCGAGATGTCTGTCTACAGCAGGCCTGGCTGAGCTCCATGAGCCAAGCCTCTACCCAAGTGTTTACACACATCCTTGCCCGGCACAAGTTCAAGGCTCTCAGATAAGACTTTATTTAATGAAGGTGGAGGGCTGTTTACCTCCTCAGGAAAAGCCAGACATTCCATACATGCGCAGTAACTCCAGTTCAGCCCCAACTCTAGGCCTGCTCCCAAGAGTCTTCCTGAGACAACCCATGAAGCACGGGCCAAATGTAATTATAATCCAAAAATTAAGTGCAAAAGAAGACAGTTAACCTAGGAAATCACTAGCACCTGACACACACAGGACCAGAGATGCCCAGTGGCAGCCAGCTCCACTTATAGCCAGATGACCCAGATGGCACAAGCAACTGCACCTGGCTCCCCACTTCACCTGAGACACTGGCAGGACCTGCTCAAAGGTGGCCAGGAGGAGCCACCAAGGCTCAGACGCAGAGCATCTGGGCACCTGCCTGATTCTGCAGAGCAGCAGGGCCCCAACCCATGCCCTGCTCACAGATGCCCACAACCTGTGCCCCTCCCTGCCCACTTGGGTCTCCCCTGGCCCCAGCCCACCTCCCCTAGAAGCCTATGCAGAACAGCAGCCTCGCCCCTGCCCTCCTGCACACCAGGAACAGCCATACCCAGGCTGGTGCAGCCCTCATAGACGGCACCATATCCAGACACTGAACAAACCGGACATTTTTTTGAGATAAGGCCAACATCCCTTGCATCCCATTCCTTGCTGCTTCCTCTCCAGAACTCAGAAACCACAGAGGAGCTCACGCATGGCACCTGGCTGTAGAGCTCGGGCCACATGTACCAGGTGGCACCCTGGCCTCCAACACGAGTGACATGGGAGTGCCTGCAGGAAGCACACTCACTGTCAGAAGAAAAGGCTAATTCAGTGACTTTCACTAGCTCTTTTCTTTCTTTTTTTTTTTTGGTACCGGGGATCAAACTTGGGTCCTTGCGCTTTCACAGCAGGCAGCGAAACCACTGAGCTAAATCCCTGGCCCCTTTTTTCAGTAGCTCTTAAACGGATTTGATATTGACCCTCCCCAAACAGCAAACAGACGATAGTAACCATTTCTATTGCTTATCCCTCCAAAAACCTCCAAAACAAAAAACCAACTGTTTCTCCTTCCACCTCTACCACAGCAGATGCTGATGAACAGAAAGAGTGTGATAAATATTTGTTAATCAAATAAATGAGGCAAGCTGGGTATGTTGGTACACACCTGTAATCCCAGCACTCAGAAGGCTGAGGCAGGAGGATTGAAAATTCCAGCCCAGGCTGGCCTGCATAGCAGCAAGTTCAAGGCTAGCCTGGACTATACAGTGAGACTCTGTCTCAAAAAATAAAATAAAATAAAACAAATAAAAATAAACGTAAAAATAACAAATGAAGTAGCCAAGAGGAAGATAGGCCCCACACCTCAACCATGGCTGCAGGCAAGGAAAACCCCAAGTAGGGTTCCCGTCTACATGGCGGGACCCAAGAGCTCAAAGGCCCCAGGCTTCAAGATGCTAGTGGTCAGAGGAGCAGCCCCAGTGTCACCTGCAGGCCTCAGAATCATCTGCTAGCCTGGAGTCCACACTGCCTACCATGGAAAGCACCCCTTCCCACCACTAAGTACCTGCTGCAGATGAGGAAGAGTGATGGAGGCAACAAGCCTCTTCAGAGAGACTCTGGAATCCTTAGTGTTACTTCATGGTATAGACGGATCCACCCTGTGGACGCGGCCTGGTCCACTTCACACCCAGGCTAATGCTTTGCTGTTAGCCTGGTTGTGCCTGGGCAGGAGGTAAAACCTAATGCTGCTTCCTTCACTACATTCATTGCAGGGTGGCTTTCCACACTGCTTCCTAATTCAGAAAGTGAATCACAACCTTTCCCTTATGGGTGGGGGGGCAAAGTGACTTGATGCCATCCGAGTGGTGCTCACGTGCCCTTGGTTAACACTATCCCGTCTCTGGCTGTGGGGATCAGGGACAGGCAGGATCTCAGGGACATATGGGTGCCCTCACTTGGCTCGGCCCCCAGAGAGGTGCTGGAATGATGGCTCTGTGGGGGCAGGGACTGCAGTCCCCGGCTCAGTGCCACCCGCTCTGGGCCCAGAACAGTGGACACATACATCTAGAGCTGGGGGACCATGCCAGAAGTGATTTGCAATTCAACCTCTGGCTCAGTTTCCATGCGGTGGTGTTGGGGTGCTCCCAAGGACCCGGGAGGCTGGGTTTTACCTCATTTCATACACAGGGTCTGAACTAGAAAAGCAGACAGAAAGAACCTCCGATGCTTTGTGGAAAGATAAAGTATCACCCCTGGAGCTCTAAAGATCAGTACAATGCATCTACAAGTGTGGGTATCCATACAGAGCTAGGCTATAGTGTATGCTGTATCTAATCGTATAGTATACTTAGTATCACAGACCAATCTATACATTGTTTCCACCCAAACAGCTTCAATCTTCAAGTATCTAATATGTTGCATGCATTTGAAAGTCTTTCCAGGGAACAGGCTCCTATGAGCTCTACAGAAAAGTAAGGAAACAGGGCCATGGGTAGGGGTGGAAGGGGGCAGTTGGATGGCAGAGCACGTGCCTAGAATGTGTGAGGCCTTAGAAGAAAAAAAAGTCTTACACCACCACCAATGTGTGCTTAAAGGAGATTCTGTTAGAAAGAGAAAAGAAACACTAAGAAATCAAATGCAAAGCTCAGGCACAAAAAGGACAAACCATCAGTGTGAGCCTCTAAAGGTCTTTCATCAAAGCAGAGAAAGCCAGGGGCGGGCTCACAGGATTGAAACTCTCCCTATCCCTAGGACCCCAGGGTTCTCCTGCTCACCCTGGCCCAGTAAGTGCTTCTGTGTGTTGACTGAAAATTCATCATTGCTTTGCAGCCTTATAATTCCCTCTCAGAAGAATTTACTATGTGTGTGTGGGGGGGTTTTTTTTAAGACAAGTTCTTGCTATATCCTTCAGGCTGGGCTTGAACTCATTATGTAGGCAAGGCTGGCCTCAAACTTGAAGTGATCCTCCTGCCTCTGCCTCCCAAGTGCAGGGATCACAGGTGGGCAGCTACCACACCAGACTACTGCATGTCTTTTTTTTTTTTTTTTTTTAACTGCATGTCTTTTTAACATCACAAAAGTATACCATGTTGCAATTCTCAAAGTATCCTCAGGGAGGTCATTTTCTTTGGTGATTTCATCCTGAGCATCCAATGGAAACAAAGAAACAAGAAACTAAAGCCTAAGAGGTTGCATCAGCTGAGGATTCTGAACAGTTCTGAGGTCTCAGGGAGGAAGTGCCATTCTGCAGATGGGGGATGAAGTCAGAGAAGCTGGACACCTGCCAACTCATCCCGGGTTAGCAGGCACCAGAGTCCACACAGAGTCCAACACTGTTCTTGTCCTGCCCTGCAAAGGATGGGGACCAGGGACCTCAAGAGGCTGCTTTCACCACCAACAAACTCCACCGAGGCAAGCGCACCACACACGGGGCTGTCTCCTTTGCCACTGTTGCCGTCAATAAGCACCTGCCTCTTCAATAAATATCGATGCTACCCACCCAGTGCAACCCAGGACCACAACTGAAGCTGATTCACTGATCAAGGTTCGAGTTTTCACAGTATCACTACCCATAAGCAAAGCCAAGCTGGGCATGGTGGTGCACACCTGCAATCCCAGCATCAAGAAGGCTGAGGCAAGAGACCAGTGAATTTGAGGCCAGCCCGGGCTACATATCAAGTTCAGGCTGGCCTGGGCTACAAGCAAGATCCTATCTCAAAAAATAAACAGATAACCAAGTGTGTGGCAGATGCTGATAATCCCAGCACTCTGGGAGGCTGAGGCAAGAGGATCACAAGTTCTAACCCAGCCCAGGCAATTTACCAACTTACTGAGATCATATCCCAATCAATCAATCAATCAATAAAATAAAAAGGGCTGGGGATACACTTCAGTGCAAAGTCCCTAGGTTCAATATCCAAGACCACAAAATAAATAACATTAAATTAAAAAAACAAAAAAATAAACAAGGCATCCCTCAACAGCATGACAGGCTATTTCTACTACCACTACTGCTAAGAAAAATCCCCTTTCTCAACTCAGTCCACAAAAAATTTTCTTACATTTGTTTATTTGTTACAGAAGTATTTAAAGCAGTGGTTCTTAGCTAAATCTGACATTTGTCAATCACTCAAGCTGGTTTTATAATATACAGATTTTATATATTCCAGCTTTATCTCCTTCCCATCCCATCCTCACGGGGGTTTGGGGGGTACCTATAATCCAGGAGCAAGTTTGGAATGTTTAAGTTCAGGAAAAGCTGCAGAAGATAGAGCTCGGTCTATTTAATCCTGCACCTGTCTCCTGCCTGTCACTGACTACACGGGGCCAGGAACAATGGGCCAGGTATGCAGAGGGGTCAGGTGTACAAGAGAACAGCAGGGAACAGCAAAACAGGAGGGTAGGGGACAGGATCCCAGCCCAGCCTCCCCTCCTCAAAGTCTGTGACCTTGAGATCACAACTCCAGTCTTTTTTTTTTTTGTACCAGGGATCGAACTCAGGACCTTGTGCTTGTGAGGCAGGTGGCAGAACGGCTGAGCTAAATCCCCAGTCCACTCCTCCAGTCTTGGTGACTCTGTCCAGCTGGGGTCACTAGGAAGAGCAAAGTGACATGGAAATGAAAGTACTTTATCTCCACACAGGTGAGGGGCACTGAGACTGGGAAACCCTCTGAATCAGGGATGGAGAAACTTTTAGAGACCAAGTGCCAAACTGCAACCCCAAACCCACTTATTTATCACAACAGTGCCAACACTGCAATTAAACCTGAATACTGAGGTTTTAGTTTAGAAAAAACAACTCGTAGGCCAGGGATGTAGCTCAGTGGCCCCGTGCCTGCTTGGCAAATGCAAGGTCCTGAGCATGATCCTTGGTACAAAAAAAATGAAAAAACAACTCATACATTAACATCGTTTGTGTTAAAAGAAAAACACAATAACGTGTGCCATAAGTTTGCCACCACTGCAAGTCTGAATCATCCCATTGGGGGTAGGTGTGTAGGACAAGTACTCTGCCTCCCTGACCCCGGGCAGCTCATGGGCATCTCAAGGATCACAACATCCTGCCTTAGAGTGGACCTGGAGAAGTGCGACCTCTCCTCCCTAAAGATGAGAATTCGGGGGACTTTCCTACTCTTTCCTGCACATTCCTAGTGAATGACAAGCTACCTGCATCCAGTATGTTACTTGACCCAGGACAACACACCAAAACCTGAGCTATCACTGGCTGTCACCATTAACATGCCTGTCAGATCATACCAGGGCAAGCCATGATGTACAAATCACCGCCTATGAAATGGAAGGCTAACCTTAATCTGTTTTTTCTGGTACTGCAAATTGAACCCAGAGCTTCTTACTGAGCTACGTCCCCAGCCCTTTTTTTTTTTTTTTAAATTTGGGACAAGGTCTTGCTGTTGGTAAACTGTTAAGGCTGTGTGCAAACTTGCTATTCTCATGCCTCATTCTCCTGGAGTGCTGAGATTATACATGTGTGCCATGGCCCTCGACTCGTAATTTGATTTTTTAGACCTTCCCTACCCCCTACAGAGCTGTAAGAACTACCCAAGTGACACAAACAGGAGAATCCACCATAGATGGGTCCAGATGCCACAATCACAAAGAGGAATTGGAGCAAAATAGTCTTTAAAGGACAATGCATCATCTAGCATTCTAGGAGCCGAGGAGAGTCTAGGGCCCAACAGACTGTCACCTGAGCAACAGACTCCAGAGGAGGAATCTACCTTTGACAAACAGGGGCAACAATAAAATATTTTGGATCAGACATGGTAGTACATGCCTGTAATCTCAGCCCTCAGTCGGCTGAAGCAGGAGGATCATGAATTTGAGGCATAGCACATCCCAGGCCAGAATAGGACTTTATGTCTCAAAAATAAATATTGTGACCACTGTTCCGTTGTGGATTCTACAATGCCCCTAATTCAACTCTTTTCAGGCTTACTGAAATGTTGCCTTTGCTATCTGCAGAGTGCCATACCCTCCCTGAGGACGCTGTTCAGAGGTGCTGACCCTAGTTAAGCACAGGCAGAAATAGCTCAGGAATCCCTATGTTCAGATCCACAACTGCATTATTTTTAAAAAACAGTATTGAAGAAATGCCTTCCAGTGATTTTCAGAGCTCCCCAAACCAGTAATTATCCCATTTCCAATTTCCAGCTATCCACTATCAGGGCTCAAAATGAATTTTATTGATCCATGCAAGCAACAGATCACATTAGCTTTACAACCATTAAACCAACACTATATGTAAAGAGGTACACGTACACACAAGGGTAAAATGGACAATTCTTAAGAAAAAAAATGACAGCAGATCCCTGAAATTTTTGGCTCCTTCCCACAACAACTCCCAGACCTCAAGCCTACAAAGACTCCTGCACCCAGGCGGTCTACAAGACAGCTTCATCCCCATCTTCCCTTCTGTCAGTTGAAAAAAACAGCTCTTCCTATAAAGCCAATCTACTTCCTACCCCCAACAAAATTCTTGGTTTTTTTACTCAGGGCATGGTGGCACATGCTTGTAATCCCAGCACTCTAGGAGGCTGAAGCAGGAGGGTCACAAATTCAAATCCTGCCTAGGCAACTTAGCACGAGTCCTTGTATCAAAATAAAAATTAAAAATAAAGGGAGCTGTGATGTAGTTCAATGTGAAGGTCCTAGGTTCAATCCTCAGTACTGGAAAAAGTGAACATCATCCTTCTTAGGGAGTAACCTCCCTGAAGATACCTGCCTTGTTCCTTCCTGTACATCCCTGGGTTCTAACCACATCCTTCTGGACGATTTGAACTGACTGCAAACTCAGGCTGAAGAGCAAGGGGGCAAACAGGAGGATACAAGTGATTGATGCTTTCCAAATTTTCTGTGACGCATGGAAAACACACTACACCAAGAAACACCTCCTAACACACTCATACCTGAGCCAAGTGTCAAGAAACAACGCTCTTGCTAAGCACAACACTCTCTGATAGTTTCTGTTTCTTTTTAAACGGTGGCTGGATCTGCTAAATTGACTTCCAATTCACTGACGGAACTCAACACTGCAGTAAATCAAACTTTACTGTTGTATTCCACAAGCTTCTAATGAGCCCTGAAAAGCCAGCCGACCACAGAACACAGCCGGTGACCCACACAGAACCAGACAGCCCAGCTGGGCAGCGTCCTTTTCTGCCCAGCAGTGGCCAAGGCCCTGGTTCAAGTTCCTCCCGTATGTCTCCCAAGAAACCCAAGGTGGCTCCATGCCCCTGCACCTCTTCATATGTCAACGTCTCAGGGTGCTGACCACTATGGAAAGTCATCCTCTCTTTGTGTCCCCTTCAGGAACCTAAAATTAAACAAGCTGGCGCGCTCCTTATGCTTCGGTGATGAGATTCGAGTCCGCCCGTCCCTCCATCTCCATCTCCATCTTTCCAGACTTAATCATCGCTGGGCGCAGCCTCTGGTGAAATAGGAAACCAGGGACGCCCTTGATAGAGTCACATCAGAGTCACAGCACAACCGGCTGCAACGGAAGGAGGTGCAGGTCACCAGGCGAGCAGTGACGGCCAGGCCGCCCTGCTCCTTCAAGACAAGCAAGTGAGCAAACGCGGGCGCACAAGCTGGGGAGTCCGCACCCCAGGGCCCAGGGCAGGGGAGCAGGGCGAGGCCTCACTCCCAGTCAGGCCCCGCGACGAACCCTCAGCTCTTCAAGGACCCACTGCCGCCCACCCGGGCGGAGAAAGGAGGGAAGAGAGGAAGGGGGGGAGTCCCCGAGCTCCGCACCTCGGCCCCCGCCCCACACCGTACCGCTCCGCCGCCGCCGCGCACTCAACAGGCACCGCCTCGACACGCGCTCTCCGCGCGTGCGCCCTGGCCGTGCGTCGCGTGCGTGCGCTGCGTGGAGGCGGGGCCCGACACCGCCCCGCCCTCCCCTCCCCCACCACCGCGACCGCCGCCAGAGCCAAGTCCGCCTCTGACCCCGCGCCCCGGGCCGCGCGCCCGAGCCGAGCTGCGCCGGGTGAGTTCGCGCCCCACCCGGGACCCGGACCCCACCGCCGCACGTCCCCTCTCTGCAGCTTCGCGGAATCCGTACCGCCCCGGCTCCGTCGGGGTCCGCTCGGCGCTGCCCTGTAGCCCCCGGGTGGGACCCGCCTGTCTGCGCCCCAGCCCTGGGCCCGCCCCACGCCCCAAGTGCGGATCCGGGGTCCCCACGTCCTGGCTCGGCCCTGGTGGGTGCGCTGGTCCGGTCGGCCGCTGTCCCCGCTCCTGGGGATCGCGCGTCCTGTCCGGGCGCCGCACCGCGCGCCCTGTTCCCGGGCGGGCACCGGGGATCGGGGAACCGGGAGCTTCGAGTGGGCAGAGGCCCCGAGAGAGGGGCGCTTTTGCTCCTCCTGCTGCGCCAGCCGCCCAGGGCCACTGTCCCAAAGCTGTCGCCAGCTCCCCAGGAAGGGAAGAACGCCAGGGCAGTGGGGGGAAAGGTCGGAGGGGCGCTCCCCTTGCGGCTCTGCTGCCACCTGCCAGGGTCCGCCAGGCAGAGGTCTGCACCCACCGCCCCGGGGCGGGGCCTCTCCGGGCTCCGCAGGCTGTGCCCAACATCTCCCAAGTAGGGGCACAGGGTCCTGCGTCCCAGGCGCAGGGGAGGGGACGAGGACGTGCCGCAGCACAACTGTCCTCCACGGCACCCGAGGGTCCAGGCCCTGGCATGCCCCAGAGTGGCACCAGCTGGAGCCTGCTGTTGCTTCATCCCGTGCATTCGTCCTGGTCATGGGTGGTAAGGTGGGTGGAGATGTTGCTGGCAGAATACAGGAGGAAGGTGGCTAAGAAGCCCCGTTTGCGTATCCTACAAGGTCCCTCCAAGTGTAAGAGAGTGATAGAGACCTGGATGTGAATCATAGTTCTGCCATTTATTAGCTGTGTGACCTTGACCAGTTACTTAACCTGTCCAAACCTCTGTTTCCATTAAAAAGTGTGGTTATGAGTGGAGTGCCGCAGCTCACTTCTGTAATCCCAGCACTCAGGAGGCTGAAGCAGGAAGATCAAAAGTTCAAGGCCAGATTGGGCTACCTGGCCAGACCCCGTCTCAAAGAAAAAAATAAAAGTGTGGTTACTACCACAAGGTTTGTCATGGGGATCCAACAAGATAACACAGGTAGAGAGACTGGCACCCTACCTGATAGTGGATTGACACTGGGTTCTCCTCTCCAGACTTTGGACCCATCCTGGCATAGCATCGCCTCTGCGCCCACCTCCCAGCCCAGTGCAGATGGATGGGCTATGTTCAGAGAGTTTGGGGACATCCCCTGCCACTCATTGTCTGAGTCCCTAACACAGCGCAAGCCCGAAGGTCCAAACAAGAAGCTGTCCTGCCTGGCTGACGGCTTGTGTCATACTTCTATCATGAAGTTTTAGTTTCATTCTCTGTTTCTGTCTCTCTAGCAGTACTGAGGATCAAACCCAGGGGCATTCTACCACTGAAACACATCCCCAGCCCTTTTCTCTTTTTGTTGTTGTTTTGTGTTTTGGTTTTTTTTGAGACAAGGTCTTGCTAAGTTACCCAGGCTGGCCTCAAACTTGCCATCTTCCTGCCTCAGCTTCTGGAGCAGCTGGGATTATAGATGTGCATCACCATGCATGCTTAAATTCTGTTTTCTTTTGCTTTGATTTTTACTGATTTTTCTCCACTAAACCATTTGTTCCGTGTCTCATTGATAACAATGGCTATTTTTTTAGTGCCTGTTTTTGCCTTGAACAATGTAAAGAGCTTTGCATGAAACTTCTTATTTAATTCTTAAAACAGCCACACAACTACCTCCATTTCACAGATGAGAGTGTTGAGGCCCAGGATGATTAGGTAATTTGCCACAGGAGAGGCCAGATCTGGCTGTCCTGGAGCCATGGCCTTAACCACCAGACTGCCTGCCCTGCCTCAGGGACTTAAGATCACAACCCAAGCAGGAGCAAAGACAGGTGGGGAGAAGTGGGGTGCGGCCCTGGGCAGCCCTTAGCCCTGTGCTCCCCAGAGGAAGCCTCCCCTCTTTGCAGAGGAAGCCTCCCCTTTTTGCAGAGGAAGCAAGCGCCGCAGTTAGCAGCATAGATGTAGCCTGTCTCTGGGCCTACCACAGACTGGCTGTGTGACTTTGGTCATGTTGTATACCCTGTCTGTCCTCCTGAGGTTATAAAGAGAATCAAATGAGTTACATTTGCAGAGTTCTTAAAACAGCACCTGGCACAAAGTAAAATAAACATTTGATAGATACCTATTTTTTTTTGGTACTGGGGATCAAACTTGGGACCTTGCACTTTTGAGGCAGATGGTGGAACCACTGAGCTAAATCCCTGGCCCTGATAAATGCCATTTTAAAAACCTGAGACTTGAACCTAAAAAGTGCGGGGTTACAGCCTTATTTATTTATTTATTTATATTTGTGGTACTAGGGATTGAGCCCAGGGTCTTCACACTGAGCTGTGTCCCCATCCTTTTTTATTTTGAGGCAGGATCTCCCTAAATCGCCCAGACTGGGCTCCAACTTTCAACCCTCCTGCCTCATGCTCCAGAGTAGCTGGGATTATAAACATGAGTCACCACACCCTGCTAAATGCATTCTTTTAATGCTACTTATCATCAGGTGTGAATACTTTTTTGCCTAGCCACTTGAAATCAGTAGGGGATTGGGTGAGGACACTGGTAATCATTGTTACACACTGGAAGACTAAGGCACAGGTCTCATGGAAACAGCCAGTCTGCATCTCACCTGCCTCCCTGTGAGCCCAAGACCTCCATTAAGTCACCCCAATAACAACAACAAAATGTAACGTATGACTCCCCACCCCCACTGTGCACTCCATAATGGGAAATCACTATGTATCCAGACATCTGATCCTCTAGCTCTAACACCACTGCACACATCCAGCCAAAGCCTCAGTATCCTGCTGGAGAAACAGGCACACAGCTGGCTGGGGTGTGTCTGGAAGAACTGCCACCAGCCCCTGCTCACCAATATTCTGCCCCAGAAAAAAAAAAAAAAAAAAAAAAAAATTCTGCCCCAGGCTAGCCCTCCTCTGTGCCCACAGCCCTGCCCTGGCTTTGAGAGGAGCTGCTGATGTTGAAATCGCCCAGAAACCCTGACCCCGCCTCCACAATTAAGACCTTGAAGTATCCCCATCAACCGGCCTGGCCATCTGGACTCCACCCCTTACCTGCCCTTTGACCTCGTGTGAGTGACTCTCCTCCCTGGGCCTTGGTTCCTGCCCTGAAAAATGGAGACAGTTATCTGAGGGGGCCCATCCTAGGCAGATGAAGGAGCAGGCCAGTTTCCGAGAGGGCAGTGAAGAGAGACCTGGTGGTTTCAGGTGCTGAGCATTCAGTTGGACGATGGCCCAACCTGAAGTCACTTAGTGGAGAGGCACCCACCATGCTCCATCTCCCCAAAGTAGGAAAATAGGGTTGGGGTGCTGGCTGGGTGGGGCCTTGGTTCTGGGAGAGAAACACAGTCCAGTGGTGGGAATGAGCCTTGTGCTTCCTAGAGTGCACTGAAATTGGAGTTGAGAAGGGGAACTAGTTAGGGCTCCCTATACCACCCAAGATGCACACAGCTACCTTTAACCTGCTCTGGAGCCTGGGATCTGTGCCTGATGTTTACCTTCCTGGCTCCCAGACACACCTACATCCACACCTCCACTCCAAGGCCAGCAAATCCCCTGGTTCCATGGATGCCACAAAGTCACTTAGCTCTCATTCACACACACATAAGCATGCGTTTACACATCCAGACACACATTCCCTCCGTGCCTCTGTGTTCTCTGGCCTGAGAATATTTAATGGACATTTTATTTCTGAAGCTTCCTCAGTTTGCACAGTCTTGTGGGCACAGCCGAAAAGCATGGCAGTTCTGTAATATTCTAGCTTTACAGAGAAGTTAACCTAGGTTTGGACCCCCAAGCCCATTATTTTACTTACAGTGAGGACTTGGGAAAGTTTCTTAACCACCCTGAGCCCCGTAGCCTCATCTTAAAACAGTGATGACACTCATAGGATTGTCAGGGATTTAATGCAATCAGGTACATATTCTTGAAACACTTAATAAATGATGCCTGCCACAGTTACTAAATTAGGATGTTTTGAAAGTCAATTTAGGCGAGAAAAGAGGGAGGCATAAATGACAGGCAGTTACTCTGCACTTCCCAACCAGCTGCAGAGAGGCTCTGGGAACCCCAGGACTGGTGGGTGGGCCTGAGAAGTCCTAGGGGGAGGTTGGGGTTGAGGGCATTTGCATGTCCAAAGTTGCCATCACCTTCACCAGGTTGTTGTTCTCTCTGTCTATTTTCCTTTCTTCCCTGGGGACCCCCCCCCCCCCCGCACAGCTGTACAGTTGTCAGCGGAAGGAGCCCCCAGGGCCCCCAGTAGGAGGAGGTGGAGCAGCACTGTCACTGCCTCCACCTGGATGAAGCCCCACTCCCCCTCCCCCGCTCTGAGAGCATCCCCAGGGCCCACTCAGCTCCA